ATATATATATATATATATATATATATATATATATATATATATATATATATATATGTCGTGCCGAATAGGCAGAACTTGCGATCTTGGCTTAAATAGCAACGCTCATCTTGCCACATAGGACAAGTGAAAATTTGTGTATGCAATAATTTCACCAAAATCATTCTGAACCTAATGAAAAAAAATATATTTCACTGTGTTTGTTTAGTATTAAATTATTGTAAACAAATCTAAAATATATTTAGTTGGGTTAGGCTAAAATAAATTGCACTTGTTATAATAAGGTTAGGTAAGTTTTCTAAGTTCCTTTTGGAGCAAAATTATAAATTTTTACATCAACATTAATGAAAAAAATATATCTTTAAACGTATAAGAGCAAATTTTAGAAAGGACTTAATTTTAAATGAGTTCTTGCTAATTGACCAGTTTTACATATTCGGCACGACATATATATATATATATATATATATATATATATATATATATATATATATATATATATATATATATATATATATATATGTGTGTGTGTGTGTGTGTGTGTGATCTTATTGCATATATATATATATATATATATATATATATATTATATATATATATATATATATATATATATATATATATATATATATATATATATATATATTTTCTGACATTGAAAAAATCACGAATGCGCTTGGATGTTCACTATTTTTTTCACAATTCTTATTTTGAATGTTGTGATATTTAAACTGTTAGGCTCATCTAGTACAAGCAGATTTAGGATATTTGCCTAAATACGCCAAAACAAATTTTTGTTACGACCATATGCGGCCTATTTTGTGTGGCCTATTTTATGCGACCTGTTTTGTCTTGTCACATATGGCATGTGTGTTACGTGCAGGTCTCTCTTGTTACTCGCCCATCTACCTGCTGTGTCCGCCCATCCGCCCATTGCGTCCGCCCACCCACCCGCTGTGTCCGCCCACCCGCCCGCTGTGTCTGCTACTATCAGTCACTCCCAACCTTCTACACTGCCTTCCCTTTTTCTTTACAGTCTCCCTACCATTTCTTTCCCTATTGAACCATTGCCACGCCCTCCCTGCTTTGTGGTGCACCCCTGCTGTGCACGGTGACTGTCTTCCTTCATTCCCCCCCCCCCACTCTCTCTCTCTCTCTCTCTCTCTCTCTCTCTCTCTCTCTCTCTCTCTCTCTCTCTCTCTCTCTCTCTCTCTCTCTCTCTCTCTCTCTCTCTCTCTCTCTCTGTCGCTCTTTCTCTCTCACACACACACACACACAAAATATCTGGAGGCTACCTCCAGGTAGAGTTAACTTAAATGCTGAACACAACAAAAGCAATGGATATGTACGTATGAAGTGGTCAGTCCCTCACCTTGATGTAGTGGTACTGAAGTGGTCAGTCCCTCACCTTGATGTAGTGGTACTGAAGTGGTCAGTCCCTCATCTTGATGTAGTAGTACTGAAGTGGTCAGTCCCTCACCTTGATGTAGTAGTACTGAAGTGGTCAGTCCCTCATCTTGATGTAGTAGTACTGAAGTGGTCAGTCCCTCACCTTGATGTAGTAGTACTGAAGTGGTCAGTCCCTCACCTTGATGTAGTAGTACTGAAGTGGTCAGTCCCTCACCTTGATGTAGTGGTACTGAAGTGGTCAGTCCCTCACCTTGATGTAGTAGTACTGAAGTGGTCAGTCCCTCACCTTGATGTAGTAGTACTGAAGTGGTCAGTCCCTCATCTTGATGTAGTAGTACTGAAGTGGTCAGTCCCTCACCTTGATGTAGTAGTACTGAAGTAGTCAGTCCCTCACCTTGATGTAGTAGTACTGAAGTGGTCAGTCCCTCACCTTGATGTAGTGGTACTGAAGTGGTCAGTCCCTCATCTTGATGTAGTAGTACTGAAGTGGTCAGTCCCTCACCTTGATGTAGCAATATTGAAGTGGTCATGAATACTAAGTGTATTCAGCCTCTGGCTGGACCAAGTTTCCCCCTCGGTGTATAAAAACTGGAAGGATTGTGTATGGCCCCAGACCTCACCCATGGATGGGACCACGGTCTGGACCTCAGCCATGGATGGGACCACGGTCTGGACCTCAGCCATGGATGGGACCACGGTCTGGACCTCAGCCATGGATGGGACCACGGTCTGGACCTCACCCATGGATGAGACCACGGTCTGGACCTCACCCATGGATGGGACCACGGTCTGGACCTCACCCATGGATGGGACCACGGTCTGGACCTCACCCATGGATGGGACCACGGTCTGGTCCTCAGCCATGGATGGGACCACGGTCTGGACCGCACCCATGGATGGGACCACGGTCTGGACCTCACCCATGGATGGGACCACGGTCTGGTCCTCAGCCATGGATGGGACCACGGTCTGGTCCTCAGCCATGGATGGGACCACGGTCTGGACCTCACCCATGGATGGGACCACGGTCTGGTCCTCAGCCATGGATGGGACCACGGTCTGGACCTCACCCATGGATGGGACCACGGTCTGGACCTCACCCATGGATGGGACCACGGTCTGGTCCTCAGCCATGGATGGGACCACGGTCTGGTCCTCAGCCATGGATGGGACCACGGTCTGGACCTCACCCATGGATGGGACCACGGTCTGGTCCTCAGCCATGGATGGGTCCACGGTCTGGTCCTCAGCCATGGATGGGACCACGGTCTGGACCTCACCCATGGATGGGACCACGGTCTGGTCCTCAGCCATGGATGGGACCACGGTCTGGTCCTCAGCCATGGATGGGACCACGGTCTGGTCCTCAGCCATGGATGGGACCACGGTCTGGTCCTCAGCCATGGATGGGACCACGGTCTGGTCCTCAGCCATGGATGGGACCACGGTCTGGTCCTCAGCCATGGATGGGACCACGGTCTGGTCCTCAGCCATGGATGGGACCACGGTCTGGGTTACGAAGGTCCTCTCTATCACTCATAAAATTGTTATAATTGCAAAATAAATCACATTACGGCTGGGACTCTAACCCATGAAAGGTGAGTCCGCCGTGGACCAGTGGTTAGCACACTGGCCTGCGAGATTTAGGAATCGTTTTATGTGGGTTCGAGTCATACCCTGTCTGAGATGTGTCCTCTCTCTCTCTCTATGATCACCAGCCTGGTTGGTCAGGCTATCCACCGGTAAGTTTGGTCTTGGACCGAGCCTCGCGGGCGTTGACCCCGGAAGTCTACTCCAGGGAGACTCCGTGTAAACCTGTCATCATTTAACTACATTGCTAAGGTGTGACAGTGGACCAGGAGTCCACCAGGAGTGTGTCAGTGGTCAGCTTCTCACGTCCTGGTCCCAGACTAGGTCTCCCAGTGGATGGTTATTCCAGGTCTCCCAGTGGATACTTAGACCAGGTATCCTGGTTGATAGCTAAACCAGGTCTCCCGGTGGATGGCCAGACCAGGTCTGTGCTCTTAGTGAGACGTCAGGTAAATCGCCATGTAAATCCTCCTTTTCCCCCTTGATGCTGGTGAGGGGCTCTTAATCCCAAAAAATTGAAGCCACCCTTCCCTTTCCTCGGATCAGGTCTATTTACATATCATTACCATTGTGGGCAGTAGCGGCTAATTTGTGCACCCGATATCCATCTTGTGGACGGTAGTAGCTGGTTTATTGTACACCCCATAGCCAGCCTGTGGATGGTAGTGGCTAGTTTATTGTACACCCCATAGCCAGCCTGTGGATGGTAGTGGCTAGTTTATTGTACACCTCATAGCCAGCCTGTGGATGGTAGTGGCTAGTTTATTGTACACCCCATAGCCAGCCTGTGGATGGTAGTGGCTAGTTTATTGTACACCCCATAGCCAGCCTGTGGATGGTAGTGGCTAGTTTATTGTACACCTCATAGCCAGCCTGTGGATGGTAGTGGTTAGTTTATTGTACACCCCATAGCCAGCCTGTGGATGGTAGTGGCTAGTTTATTGTACACCCCATAGCCAGCCTGTGGATGGTAGTGGCTAGTTTATTGTACACCCCATAGCCAGCCTGTGGATGGTAGTGGCTAGTTTATTGTACACCCCATAGCCAGCCTGTGGATGGTAGTGGCTAGTTTATTGTACGCCTTATATCCATCCTGTGGATGGTAGTGGCTAGTTTATTGTACACCTCATATCTATCCTGTGGATGGTAGTTCATAATAATGTACTAAAGAACTAGGAACTATGCCCTAAAGCAATTAACAGATCTTCATTGTCATATACATTACATTTACTAAGTGTCAATTTAGTATATACATCGAGAGATGTATGTCTTTCAGTATGTATGCTGAGCGTTTACGATAATCATTATTTTAGGGACTAAAGTATTCTTGACTGGTGGTGAACAGGTGATTTGGATGATGCAGCCATAATGACCCTCGTGTAGTCGATAGGTTTTAAACCCCATTAGCTTAACTCACATTATTTTGCGTGTCACAAGGTAATTTAGGATATCTGCTTAATTACTGACATTATTTTTATTAAATAGATATTTAATATATCATGTAAGTGTACAGTCTGTACATTGTGTGTGCGGCGTCAAGGAGCTAAATTTTGTGACATAAAATTAGTCTGTCAGTCCAGGCTGATGGTACTGAGGACCAGGTAGCCCTGGTTCTCACCTGTCTCTGACACACGCTAATACTTCTCTCTCTTCCCTTTTCTTGTTGTATTATTATTATTATTATTATTATTATTATTATTATTGATGTGTATACTTGATATAGGATAATTACGTCATTGCTTATAACTTTTGAATATAATTACTGACATCATTACACTCTGAACTAGTAATTAATGTCTCAGCCATGTCTGATTTGTGTTATGGCTGGTGCATTTTCTCTCTCGTGTGAGGCAGCAGCACTAATCTCTCCACTCTCCCTCCTGACGCTATACACTAACCTCTCTCTCCCTCCTGACGCAGCACTAACCTCTCTCCCTCCTGACGCAGAACTAACCTCTCTCCCTCCTGACGCAGCACTAACCTCTCTCTCCCTCCTGACGCAGGTCCACTCATCGATGACACGTGGTTCCTGGTGATCATCTCCTCTTGTGTGGCCGCTACGCTGCTAGGCATCATCCTTGCTATCGCCTTCCTCAAGTACAGAGAGTGAGTGTTTTGTGTATTTTGTCTATGTGACGATACATTGAATGTCTTGTGTCTGTGAGATGATACAGCGAGTGTCTTGTGTCTGTGATGATACAGTGAGTGTCTTGTGTCTGTGGGATGATACAGCGAGTGTCTTGTGTCTGTGATGATACAGAGAGTGTTTTGTATCTGTGATGATGCAGTAAGTGTCTTGTGTCTGTGGTAGTGTCTTGTGCTTGTAATGATAGTATATTCCTTGTGTACCTTCCTGTGTCACATACAAAGTGTCTACCTTGTGTAACATCATCCTTTGTAACACAGTGTGTGTCTCTATGTATGTTACTCACTGTTTGATGGTATTGAGTGTTCCTGACGTCTTGTGTTTCTTGATGTTCACTGTGTCATTATCCCAGTATTGTATATTATATTTTTCCCAGTGTGGTAGTATGTGTCCATGGTTTGTCTTCCATCTCCCTGTGTGATAGTACGTGTCCGTGGCTTGTCTCCTACCTCCCTGTGTGATAGTAGTGTCCGTGGCTTGTCTCCCACCTCCCTGTGTGATGGTAGTGTCCGTGGCTTGTCTCCCACCTTCCTGTGTGATAGTAGTGTCCGTGGCTTGTCTCCCACCTTCCTGTGTGATAGTAGTGTCCGTGGCTTGTCTCCCACCTCCCTGTGTGATGGTAGTGTTCGTGGCTTATCTCCCACCTTCTTGTGTGATGGTAGTGTCCGTGGCTTATCTCCCACCTCTCTGTGTGATGCTAGTGTCCGTGGCTTGTCTCCCACCTTCCTGTGTGATGGTAGTGTCGAATTATTGATGGTATAAAGTACCGGCATGTTGATGAATAGGACACACGTATTAATATTTGCGTATCTTTTTACCGAAACTATTCACCTTCGCAGCAGGCTTCTTCATTCAAACACAGGGAAGTATGACACTGAAAGACAGTCGAAGTAATTGTAAGCTGAATAGTCACTCACTCTTGATAGGTGGTGGTCAGTCCCTCAGGCATAGGGACTGACCACCTCAAAAATTACTTGCATTTCTCCAGTATTATATTCAGTGATGCTCGACAGAAGAATCCTGATGTGCATGTGTTTTAATCATCAGCAGTAGAGTGTCTCTGGCTTGTTACTGTTTGTTTTACTTCTCCCTGCGTTGCCCGTCTCATTTTACGTGATTATTTCTGATGTCAGTGTTTCTTCTGTTGGGCACTATTGATTCTCTTGGGCGATACAGTGGTGCCAGGGAAATACCATAGTTTAAGTACACAAATGGAACATTTACAAAGTCCAAGTCGGACCGAAACGTCGTCGTAAGCTCCTCTCTCCTGTTTACTGGTTATTTGTATATTGTTCCAGTCACGATATTATGCGTTTTTGTTCTTCATAGTTGAGGTGTTTTCTCTCATATTAGCTGAAAATTTAACCCTGAGTACCTTCCATTCCACAGGCGCTATATTGGTTCTACGGGTTTGCGTCTCCCTGTGAATGTGTACAGATGGTTTAGAAAACCGACAAGTTGAAGAATGAGACACTTGTGCAAGATTTGGAAATCTTTATTGAGGAAACGTTTCGCCAGCCAGGGGCTTCTTCAGTCTCATACAAAGAAGAACGGTAAAAAAGAGGAGTTTGAGGTAATCAGTCCCTTACTAAGCCTGGAATCGATGTGTTCAGTCCATCAATCTTGAAGGATGAACTGAACACTGAGGGACTGATTACCTCAAACTCCTCTTTTTCTACCGTTCTTCTTTGTATTGGACTGATGCAGTCAATGTGTGGCGAAACGTTTCCTTAATAAAGATTCCCAAATGTTGTACAAGTGTCCCCGTGAATATAATGAGGTGTAGGTGGCGGTGTGTGTGGTGGCCTCTGGCTCCATTTTGTCTGGGTTTTGGGTTGGTGGAAGAGAGGTGATTACATCAGGAACACGAGGCAGCGAAGCTCAGTTCATTAGTCACACGGGTGTGATGAAGTGAGTCTGGCCTTCCGTGATACCTGGGTCACACCTGACTGATAACACCACCTCTTAATGAACTGCCACTCACCCCCACCCATCACCACACCCACTCACCCTCTTGAGAATAACGCTGAGTCGTTTCTTTGAAGTCTTTTCATCCCAGAATCTCGCGTATTTGTCGTCGTGTGAGATCGTTCTCAGTAATTCACTATCACGAGTGTTCACAGGGATGGAGTTACCATGTAGTGGATAACATCCATCGCTCCATTCTTATATGGCGTAGTGGTACAGTCACTGTGTTTCTGATGTCTCAGCCTGGCGGAGATGTGTCACAGGCTATAGGCTCACAAGGCGGCGTGATATTAAATGTTCCATAATATTTCGCTTGTTTCTGTGATTATATATATATAATATATATATATATATATATATATATATATATATATATATATATATATATATATTATATATATATATATATGTATATATATATATATATATATATATATATATGTATATATATATAATGTATATATATATATATATATAGTATTATATATATGTATATATATATATATATTATGTATATATATATGTATATATATATATATGTATAAAATATATATAATGTATATATTATATATATATATATATATATATGTTTATTATATATATATATTAATTATATATATATTATGATATAATATAATATATGTATATAAATATATATATATATATAATATGTATATATATATGTTATATATATATATAATAGTATAATATATTGTAGTTTAATATATATATAATAGTGATATGTATATATTATCATTATATAATATTCTATATATAGAATTATAATTATGTTTTATATTGTGAATATATCAGTTAATTATATGATAATGCTATATATATGATGTATGTGTACCTGATAAAAAACACTGATATAAGAGATAGATAGTTTTAGTGTGCATCCACGAAACCCAAGTGCCTTCATGATTTCTCCATTATCAAACTGTTCCTTGATAATGTGAGAAAGTCACGAAAGCGCTTGGAATTTCACGATTTTTTCTAGTGGTTGTTCTGAATATTGTGATTTCACCTGTTTACTGTGATATTGCATAAACACGCTGGCCCTCTCTTATCGAGGCAGGGTGACCCGGAAAAGAAACACTATCATTGTCTTGCCAGAGGCGCGCAGATACGACGGTTCAGATGTGCCATCCAAACGGCAAAATCCCAAACCTCTCCTTTAAAGAGGTTCTTGGAAGTTTCAAGTTCTAACCCCTGTTGCTACATATAACGATATATCACCTCCATGGATTGTAGTGTAAGATGTATTGTGAAAGGAGACTGGGGATACCTCCTTCGATCGCCCTTATGCTGTCGAATTATACTTTTAATGTTTTCTAAATAATAATTAGGAATGAAACGATACCATATTTTTTGTCGATACTGATACCATCAAAATTAGCCGATACCACCGATACTGATTGATAATACTATTAATAATAATATTGCTCGCATGGACCATTAAGCCTGATGCAGAGCTCCTTCTTTCATATGTTCTTATTCAGCTTGATTAAGGTTAGTAATGTCTATCTTCCGTCCTCTAATTGCTGTCCAGTCTCAGACCATTTAGGCTGTTACTGAGCTACTCTTTCATTAAACTGGTGTACGTTGTGCACGTGTGCAAACATGTATGTTTATGTATGGATGTATATATGTGTGCGTGTATGTGGGAGGCGTCAGTGTGAATATGTATGAACTTCCCGAGTGTAGAAGTGCGCTCGTGACTGCATTCTTTCACAATTTAGTGTTTGTTACTCAGTGAGGGAGAGGGTGCCTTGATGCTAGTGAAGGGATCGTGATCCAAGGGCTTCAGGGTACCCTGCCCTTGCTTTGATCAAACCTGATTGCCTTCCATTCGCCGTATGAGTGAGGCTGAGTGTTAGTTGTTGTTTGGGAGACTAACTTGTGACCTTGTGTTCTCAGAGGCAAGCTGAAGCCGCTCAGTGATGTGGCTCTGGCCAAGAAGGAGAAAGCTCTTGGTCTTGAGCGCTGCGAGGCTGTGCTCTACCCAACCCCGTCCCTGGCACCTGTGCCCGTGCCCACGCTGGACAACCGCACATCGCGGGCACTGTGGGCGGGCATCAAGCCCCTGGAGGGCAACCACTACACCGTCGACCACTGCCAGCCTATGGAGCAGAAGCCGGTGCGTCTAGACTTGTTGCCGCCCCACGACAACACCTACGACTACGCCGATTACAGTAGCGTCAGCTACGCTAGCGCTCCCTACAACAACCTCACGCCGCGCCTCGACCAGCACAGCCCCAGGCCCGCTCCCGCTGCTAGCTTTGAGAATGTTGGCTACGTCCCTGGCGACGAGGCTTCCGAAGTAGAACGCATCGCCCCTGACGGGTGTGTAGTAACAGCCCCGCGCGCCGCCAGACTCCTGGGGTCACCGCGGCCATGCCAGGGGGTCCCCGACCATCACCACTACGAGATGGTGACACCCTCACCACGTCGTCACCGCTCCCTGGAGCGGGGACGCCAGCCACCCCTCATCAGCGGGCCCACCAGTCTGGGTCCCGGCCGTCTGCCGCCCCTCAATGGGCGCCCATCTCCACGGTACAACCTCACTGCTCTGGCCACCGGCGCCCACACCCTCACGCCCAAGGTGGAGAGCTGCGCGCGGGCGGAACGTCGTCACGCCCACGTGTCTCTGGACCGTTCAGGCAGCACCAACACCACCCTGGCCCCCGCCTCCCCTACTGACCACATCTACGCCTCTCCCATCACATCGCCGGTCATTTGAAACAGCCGGGTGCCATTAGCGCACCCACTTGGCCCGCCCTACTGGCACACCGGGCGCTGGGCCACGCTTGTTGCTAGTCAACTGAGGTGAGTTTGGTGCCAACACCTCCATGGCTCTGGGAAGCACCAAGACACAATTCCAGAGTCACTAAAACGGGTCTTGGGAGAGAGCGAGAGTAATGGGATCGCCACCACTACTTGGGAGTTAGTTTCTAGCACAAACAGCTCTGGATGCAGGCTGGATCTGAGTGTGATCCTGTTAGTATGGTTCTTTGTACCTGAACACGGGGGATACTGGCATTCTAAACCAGTACAGAACCTCGGGCCCACTGGTTGAAGGGACATGAAGTGGACAGAAAAATATTAAGCACTGAACATACATATGGGTTATTCATCGCAAGGTGTTGTGAAGGCTCTATCCTCCACCTGCTAATTGCGGAACACTATACTAGCAGCCAGACTTTCCCAGAGCGAGCCGTGTTCGTCCTGAAGGTGCAGGTAACAATCGTCGTAGTCTTATCCCTCTCTGGCTTGCTGTACCTGATGTAAGTGCAGTGTGTTATGCTCTTACCTTGGGACCTGGTCCCTATAGACCCCATGACTTGGTTCCCAAACTTTCGGACCTGGTCACCATAGTCTAGGACCTGGCCCCAACCCTAGATGCCTAGCCCCTCATTTCCTTGTAACCAAAAATTCTGGTGCTTGGCTTTCCTCCCAAAGTCAAGATATTGTGGTCCAGATCAGGTCTCTAGACCGCGGTACAAAGTACAGCTGAACATGTACTCCCTCATCACAGCTGCTCAAAAGGCCTGTGAGACCTGTACATGCATCGAGCCAGTCCAATGAGTAACAATGTGTCGTCTAATGGTAATGTTTCATTTAGAAGGCTCATTGTGTTGATACCAAAGTGTAGTTTTAAGGGCCACCAAGTCTCGGAAATACACACGTTTCTTCTAATGTTTCTCTCGAGAGCATTAGATTTTGCACTAATAAGTTCATATCTATATCACATTGTTCTCATTGTATATTTCCTGTCATAAATGTTTCGTTATATGTCGTTGACGCATATAAACCATATAATAGTGATCTCATTAGTTTTCAGATTATCTGTAAAAACCAAGACTGTATTGGTGGAAGAGTCTATAGGTGTAAGCTACCTACCTACTTACCTACCTACACACACACACACACACACACACACACACACACACACACACACACACACACACACACACACACACACACACACACACACACACACACACACACACTCACTCACACTCACACTCACACTCACACTCACACACTCACACTCACTCACACTCACACTCACACTCACACTCACACTCACTCTCTCTCTCTCTCTCTCTCTCTCTCTCTCTCTCTCTCTCTCTCTCTCTCTCTCTCTCTCTCTCTCTCTCTCTCTCCTCACTCACTCACTCACTCACTAGCTAGAAATCAACACTCCACAGACAAACTAAGGAAGTAAACACACAAACTTACAAAAAACCAACATGTCCCCCACGTGTGATGTTTAAAAATCATACGCTTGAGTCCCTCCTAGATATATTTAGTGACAAGTTTTGTGATCAGTGAATCACAATCGTGAGCAGCTGATCATGGTGCCATACAAAGATTTAAAATGAAGCCTGAGACATGTGCTTGTGTTTCTTCTAAGTCGTTAGATTTAGGCCAGTGCATGGATACATAAATTGTATGAGTGCTTTTCAAGCTTTCCTCAGACGGATTCATTCCATGTATCACTATATTTATTGCAGTGTGTATATGTATCAAAGCTTTATCTGTCTGTAAATAAAATTATTTGCTTTTTTATAATTTCTGTATAAAAATGTGCAATTTTATCTCCAATAGATGTTCAAACCTTATGTACGACTTTCAGTGATCCTGTCGCTTCTCGGCCAGAGTTGCTTACTTAAATTTTATATACAATTGAATTTATAAGCTTTCAAGTCTGCCTCAACTCATTTGGAATCCACGCTCTATCTACTGTATATTACCACCTGCACGATGCTAACCACAGCAGGTGACTTACACCCAGGTATATACTCACCAATTTGTAGTTGCGGGAGTTGAGTCACAGCTCCTGGCCCCACCTCTTCGCTGGCTTCTACTCATAGGTGCTCAGGGGCAGCAGGTATAATGAGAATGGCCCATAATTACAAAAGCTGAAACCTATCGAGCCTTCAAGGGAAGTAGCTACCTTGATGCAGGTGAAAGGGTTTGGTGAAAGGGTTTTTAATACAAAAAAAAATGGAGGACTCATCCTTTTGGATCAAACCAAATTGCATCTTATTCTCCAAACACTTAACACTTTCCCTAAATGTAATGTTTTGAAACCTATCAACTGTGCCTGGGTCAATGAAGTGGCACTTTAATTCTAACAGTTTTTTTAATACGCAAAACAGGGACTAAAGTAAAAAAAAAAAAAAAGGCGCGGTCTGCATAATGTTAAATTCCACAGCTACCTTGACTTTCGTATTTTCGCCAGTGGTTCTAGTCTTAAGGAACACTTTGGTAGATTGAGGGATTAATAAAACTAACAGCTGATTGTATTTAACATAATAGACCCCCATCGACAAACTTGAACATAATCTAACCCTCTCATTCCCCAGCGGCAGACCGTCACACCTGTTAGTGGTAGTGCTGATCGTTGGTTAATTCGGTTTAAAAGCCTAAACGACTATTCAAAGGATTATTAAGACTGCAAGTAAGTTGTCCACCACCAGTCAAGAATTCTTCAAATAGAGATTAAAGTAAGCTCAGTGTATAATATAACACTGACAGTCACACACGCACCTCTTCAGTCCATATATTATTGTGTAACTGAAAGCTTGTCGTGTAGCATGGGAGACGTCGCCGAGGAGTCACTTACCTAATGTTTTGCGTTTATATTATTATTATTATTATTATCAAAAAGAAGCGCTAAGCCACAAGGGATGTACAGCGTTTGCGTTTATATAATACGATATTTCGCTCACAAGAAGCTTTATTAAGTACTTGGTAAAGCCTCTTGTAGGTGAAACGTATTTAATAAATATTCTCCTTTTGCTGTTTTTCCTACCAGCCTTGTGCAGATACTGGCCAATGACGTAGCCTAGTTACCCAGCCTCAAACATGGCCTTTGTAGGCTTTCACATCCTTTCTGCTGTACAGAGAGATAGTGTTTACCACACAATGATATAAATCATGAGCTTATCGCATAGTTATCAATACAAGTTTGTGCGGAGTCACGTCCACTATGGCTGATAAGTAAATTTGCTGACAATCACGTGACTGCCAAAAACTCAATACACTCGGGTGTAACAGTATACACGTTAAGAGTTTACTTTTGTTCTTATTTGTTGGGGCTAATCTTGACCGAGTGCCTAATTTATGCTGATGACTTCTAGTAACTGAAGCACCTAAAGCAGTGAGAACAACCAGTCAGACGTAGTACGCTGGTAGAAGACAATGGTGGGTCATGCCTGCTGACTTCTATTCTCCACACAGAGTCAGCAGTTCACCCTGAGTGAGAAACGTTTTTATACTTAACTTGTTATGAGATTCATCCTTAATAATCCTGGACCTTAAACAAGCTTGCAGTAGCATTTGCTTTTGTGTTAAAAGATGGACGCGACTTTATTGGTGTATTATCTCCTCTCGGTTAATTAATAAGCCAAACAGTTTAGCTCTTCCCTACATATGTGTCCAATACACGTGTGTACTCTACACTTGTGTGTACAATCAACTGAACATGTGTGTACACATTGCATGTATGCTTACAGTTGCGTGTGTACACTCCTGTGTGTACACTCATTTAGTACACCTGTGTATAATGTGCATGAAGCACAATGATACAAGGTAAATTAACAGCCTGCTGTTATCATCCACTGCGAGAGGTACCGCAGTGCAACACTAGGCGTTGTATCAATCGATTTTCAACTTCCATCACGCAAGCCAAAACCTCGACTCACACCAAGCTTGTCTTTCGTGTTACTAGCAAGCCTTTTACCTCTCTTGGGCCCACTCATAATAAAAAGCCATAATTTTACTTTATCAAAGGTTCCATCAGAAGATGAATGAGGCTATTGTCACGACTCCTGCTTAAAGGTTTTATTACCAGGAGTCAAATTCAGTTTATTCACTCTACTGTACTTTCTTACTACTAAATACTCCAAAATTCAGCCGTTTCTTTGAAAGGGGTGCCTTGATGCTACTGAACTACTATTAATTCAAAGAAATGGAGTTACCTTTCAATTTCTTTGATCAAACCTGATTACATTCCACCTCTCCATTCCGCAGTGCTGTATAGTCCTTGTGGCTTAGCGCTTCTTTTTGATTATAATAATAATAATAATCCATTCCGCAGGCGCTGTATGACACTTATGGTTTAGTGCTTCCTTATGTGTAATGTAATGTGGCCCTCTTAAGTATCCTATGTGTACTCAACAAGAACAGAGAGCTCGCCTTACAGCCGAAAGGACTCGGGTTCGATTCCCATTAAATCGAGATACTATACTAATTGCACAGTTGCATCTGTTTTAGTAAATTGGTACCTGGGTATTAGTAGACTGTTGTAGGAGGCATCTTGGGTAAAGGGAAGAGTAGTATTTCTTAGGGCTGGCCTTTGACATGAGCTGAGGTAGGACAACAGTTCTTAACTTATAACTTCAGCGGTGTAAATAAAATAGCATCTGTAACACCTGCTACCAACAGATGATGAACGGTTGGTTAGCTAATTGGGATTAAACCCTAAAATATGAATTAAAGTAAACTTTCAGCATATATACGCTGAGAGAAATACCTCTCAGTGTATATATCCTGTGAATAATAATATTCTAATTATCTATTTTCGAAGTGATGGTATTCAAGTAAAAACGTATGCTAAGATATACAAACAAAAGTATAATCATTGATTTATTGGACTAAACTCAATGGAGTTCTACAAGATTCTTACACGCACCGAGAGGTGCATGTCTCTCAGCATATAGTATATACTGGGAGTTTATTTTAATCCCTCTTTTAAGGATTAAATTATTCTTGTTTCTCACGAAATCGTAATAACACGATTGCAAACAAACTACGGAACGGGCGGGGATTGAACCTATGGTAAGTGAATCCTTAAACTCCGGGCTCTGGGAAAACTTGTCCCCTCAAGGAAGGTTCCTTGATGTTGGTGAGGGGCTCTTGATTTAGGGAATTGGATCTGTGCTCCAGTTCCCCGAATTAAGCCTGAATGCCTTCCACATCCCTCCCCCCCAGGCACTGTATAATCCTCCGGGTCTAGCGCTTCCCCTTGATTATAATAATAATAATAATAATAATAATGGGAAGACTTGAGCTAGAGTTTGTCACAGCCACGCTGGTGGGAAATTCAACTGTATAAACTTGCATTTGTGGTCACAGTAGGGCCCATGATAACTTCTTTGTAGTGTATAAATATACCTAGTTGAATGAATATTATTATAGCCAGCTCGTCCAGTGGCTTACGCACTGGCCTGGAGTTTACCACTCGCTTGCTGCCATGGGTTCAATCCCCATCCGTTCCGTGGTTTATTCTTGTTTGGTGGAGAAAACTGTTACGCGCTACTTTGATGATCCTGGCGTAGTATGTAGGCCAGGATCATCAATAACCAACCTAGATTGAAGTTCTAAATTATAATCCTTAAAGGGGGGGGGGGCTTGATGCTGGTGAAGGGCTCTTGACCCAAGGAAGTGGAGCTATTGCTCTCCCCTTCCTTGGATCAGCTTTGGTTACCCGAAACATATTTCACAAAAAATGAAAGCCGTGACTTTTTAACAGATTATAGCACTCATCGTTCCAGTCTGTGTACACTGTTATAACATGTTATCATTTATATGTATTATTTATTTCGATTTACATCTTAAGTTTACACTAACATTTTCCACCAAAAAATGAAAACTCTGAAAGCAAGCTGAGTAACATTAAAACAATCCAGATTTTAACAGTGAGAAAAGTTCAGCTGAGATTTTACATTTAGTCGGGCTGTAAGAATATAAGAAAAAGGAACATTGTAGCAGGCATACTGGCCCATGCGAGGCAGGTCCAAGTCGCCTACCGGCCCATGCCACTGACCCAACCTAGTCAGGTCCAGGTCACATCCACTCAAAGAAGGATCACGGCATCAGACCTACTAGCACAAGCTTGTCAGGTCCAACTCAAACCCACTCATGTATTTATCTAGTTTACAACATTAGGGATGAGAGTCTGAAGTTTTCAAGAAGAAACTGGATCACTAGCTCCGCGGTGCGCCAGATCAACTAGACTGTGATAGATACGTGGGACAGGGCCGCCAACAACAACCTGGTCAACTAGACAGCAGGGAGGCCAGGCCTAGGGTTGGCCCGCGGAAGTAAAGACAACTTTGGAAACAGGTGACAGACGCTCACACTGTCAGTGGATGCTCTTAACGTTACCTAATTGTAGAAATGGAGTGCACTTTTGGTCTCCATAATACTTAATGGATTTAAATACATTTCAAGGCATGCACCTTGCTGTGAACAGATAATGTTTGTTAAAAGTTCGCCCGTTTGCAACTTGTTAAGTATTATATATATATAATGTAGTATTTGAAAATGTACATAGGGACAAATTTGACGTGTATCAACCCTGTTTGCAAAATGTACAAAGATGAAATCTAATTTGAACATTCATTTGTACTTTAAATTTATTAAATAAATTCTTCAGTGTGTATTATCTTTGAAATAAGTAGAAGTTAATAATACTATTATTATATATGGAGACTTAGAAAGGATTATATAATAATCATTTTAATTATAACTTAAATCTAGTTTGACGACGTCTCGAAATATGACGAGACGCCACAAAGAACGTCAGTCAACCCTCGGACTTCCACGTGGTTGTATTACGCTGTTAGCTGACAGGAAGTTTCGTTATATTCCTGCCCAGGACTGCTAGTAATATTACCTACAACTACAATAAAAGGTTAGTACTCTTAATTACTTAGTCCAGCACTGTAAAGCCAGAGGTTTATGGTATCATTGTCCGGCCATAGGACCATTATTATATGGCGACATATCTTCCATCACTTGCAGTCTCCGTCATAGTGTCGCCACCACTTGAATATTTACTTAATAATAAAAGACTTTCTTCTCTGACTAATACACAGATGAGCAACGAAAGGTTTGTAACCCTTCGAGGAATGTGCAACCTTATGGGTTTAGCGCTTTACCTGGAGAGAGTTCCGGGGGTCAACGCCCCCGCGGCCCGGTCTGTGGCCAGGCCTCCTGGTGGATCAGAGCCTGATCAACCAGGCTGTTGCTGCTGGCTGCACGCAAACCAACGTACGAGCCACAGCCCGGCTGGTCAGGAACCGACTTTAGGTGCTTGTCCAGTGCCAGCTTGAAGACTGCCAGGGGTCTGTTGTTTTGTATTATAATTTAAGATGTCATGAAGTTGGTGAAGGGTATTTTGATCCAAAGAATTGGAACTATCCTCTCTCCTTAATTGTTATAATTATAACCATAAGTTTTAAAGGGGTGGAGGGGTAAGCCAGTGGAAGGACTCTGTCAGGTGACCAAAATTATTATTATAATCAAAAAGAAGCGCTAAGCCACAAGGACTGTACAGGTGAGGTGACCAAAAGCTCCAACTGCGGGTCAACATATGATTAAGACCCGTGTTAGGAAATACTTGACCTGTTTCCTGTTTAACCTAACTTAACCTGTCGCTTTCCTTGGGTAGAACTTTTATTGCTTCCCATTCCTCTGGCGCTGTGACTCATCGAGTTTATTGCTTCCCCCATTAATGTTATAACTCGGTGAAGTCAGGCAGCCATTTATTTTAAATTAGGTTAAATCATAGTATGTTATATTAAATTAGGCAGCGCTGTATAGCCCTTGTGGCTTAGCGCTTCTTTTTGATTATAATAATAATAATAATATATTAAATTAGTGTTGACACAGTATTAGACTACCCAGGAGTTATATGACCTCTGGGATTACTGCTTCTAAATAAATATTATGATTAAATATTGAGTTTAGGGGCTTCATTGACTTTCACAAAAAAATTATAATGAACAGTGGTTACGGATTAGTTTGTGCAGTGGAGATTTTTTTTTTTTTTTTTTTTTTTTTTTTGCAAATTTGAAAAAAAAATAACTTGTATGGAAAGGAACTTCAAATGCTATTATTACTAGTCTTCTTGACATTCAAAAACAATTGTTTGACCTGTTAGCCTTGAGTTATAATGTAAATAAGGCAGAGCATGATGGGCATACTTCTGTTTGACTTTTAATTTTCTTCCTTGTTCACTTCAGCCTTGTTATTACATGTGCTCTGGTAAGTTTATTTAGGTACAGGTCCACGTAAGTACAATTATCATTCATAGTAACGTGTGTACATTACCTAGGATTACCCAAAAAAGTCAGTGACTTATTTACATTGGCCCATAGAAGCTATATATTCTGTAGATGAATGGTTCAGAGAACCGACAAGTTGATGAATTAGACACATGTGCAACACTTGGGTATCTTTAATGAGGAAACGTGTGACGAAATGTTTCTTCATTAAAGATACCCAAGTGTTGCACATGTCTAATTCATCATGCAATATTCTGCTACAAAAACTAGTGTAATTCCAGTTAGTATTCATAGATTGTTAATCTCTTATTATTTTTTAATTCAGATAGTATTTGTATCCCAAGGAGAAATGACAAAGAAAACCCTGCCTGTCCCTGATTTTTTGTGCTCCATTTCAGGTAAACTTGTGGTGTCACTCAGTGCCTCTACATCTAAACTGGGTAACTGCAGCAAGACTACTATTTTCACAGATTTTGACAAGACTGCCCAAATGTAGCCGTTAGATAACTTTGAGAACATTTTTTGACTTCATAATACCATGCATAGAGGAGTTCAGGAGTCTTCCAGTATGACAAGCGGCACAACCGTTGTACAGCAGCCATTTGATGTATCCACATTTCATCATCCCCTGTTGTACTATCCAGACTGAATCAGCAACCAGAAGAATGTGACAAAATTCAAAGTAAGTTTTTTTTTTTTTTTTTTTTTTTTTTTTTTTTTTTTTTTTTTTTTTAAGATTTGGTAATTTCTCATTCAGGATAATATAAACCTTTCTTTTCCAATTCAGTTCTGTTCTAAATAAAAGCAATTTTCTGAAATAATAATAAGCAAAGCATTTTAAAAGCTATGTAGGGATAGCTCAATGCAGAACATAGTCTTGGACTCTTCCATAAAATAAAATTACAGGAAATGGTGTATAAATAAATATAATATATAGTTTACAGGACTTCACATAAGTTATATTTTGCATGGTCAAAGACAAGCCATGAATAAACAGAGTAAGATAAATTAATTGTACACAGTAGAGTATCTATGAAAGAAATTTATCCTAAAAGTCATAAAGTATTGTGAATCAAAAGCATGCACTGTATGTAATTTAATGTCAGTAACTTGAACAGTGAGGCTTAATATAAGATAAATAACCAGTACTTATTCAAGGAGGTATAGAAGTTATTTGGATGAAAGGTCCCTGAAATGGGAGTGCAGTAAGAAAGATTGGATTTTAACCCAGAGGGTTAGCCACCCAGAATAACCTATGAAAGTCAGTTTGTCATTGAGGGCTGTCTCATATTGACATTGGGGTCCTTCAATCTTGTCTCCAGAATGTGACCTACACCAGTCAGTTAACACCCAGGTACTTAACTGCTAAGTGAACAGGGACAGCAGGTGTAAGGAAACATGCCCAGCATTTCCACCTGTGACGGGGATCGAACCACTGACACTCAGTGTGTGAGGCAAGAGCTTTATCCAAGGAATTAGAGCTACCCTCCCCTTTAAGAGAACTTTATTACCTCCCATTCCCCAGCTGCTGTGCAACTCCTATGAGTAGCATTTCCTTTTGATGGGTAGCCAGTGGTGGTTAGTCTGCAACTTGCATTTCCACTCATGACGTTCTTTGTAGTATTTTGTATATAAATGTTGCTGACAGATTCTGTACAATATTTTTTATTTTACAGTCAAACAAGGCATATGACTGACATGTGGTAGTCTTCTAGTATCTGGAGGCAGGACCAGCTCTTTAAAATATTCAGAGGTCATTATTAAATTTCATATAAATTTACTGTGAATATATTATTTATCGGTATATCAGATTTTTTCTTGGTTACTAAAAAGCCATGTATCATGGAGGTAAATACCTAGTGTTGCCAGACCCTCAACAGCAGAGGGTGTATAAAACAGTTGAGATCAGAAGCAACAAATGGATGGTCAGTTGTATGTCAAGAGAAGTATACTGTATCACTTTCAACATTGACTTCCAATTCCACCACTAAAACTAGCAGTCAGGCCAGCCTTTTCCATTAGTGCAAAGTACCGCTAGCACGAGCCCTCAGTATTTGGAGAAAAAGCTTAGATCTAGGTGAAATACTGGAGGCCTTAAAGAGTGCAGACATAGCTCCTTTGCATAAGGGAGGTAGTAGAGCACTAGCTAAAAATTACAGACCAGTAGCCTCTCACATAAAAATCTTCAAAAGAGTGATGAGATGGCAGGTTACAAATTTCACGGACCAGCACAACCAACATAACCCGAACCAACATGGTTTTAGAGCAGGACGATCATGTCTGTCACAGTTGCTGAACCATTACAATAGAATTACAGAGGCACTGGAAGACGACCAAAACGCAGATGTGATTTACACAGATTTTGCAAAGGCGTTTGACAAATGCAATCATGGAGTGATAGCACACAAAATGAAGGCCATGGGCATTACGGGGAAGGTAGGCAGATGGATTTTCGGTTTCCTAACACACAGAACACAAAAAGTAGTAGTGAACAGGGCAAGATCCAGCATCAGCGAGGTCAAAAGCTCAGTGCCCCAAGGCACTGTCCTGGCACCTCTGCTGTTCCTCATCCTCTTAGCAGACATAGACAAAAACACCCGGCACACTTTTGTATCATCATTTGCAGATGACACTAAGATAAGCATGAAAGTCAGTACGGTAGAGGACACTGAAAAAGTACAGGAAGACATAAGCAGGGTTTTCCAGTGGGCAGTGGAGAACAACATGACATTCAGTGGTGATAAGTTCCAGCTGCTTAGGTATGGAAAGAATGAAGAACTCAAAAGGAGCACTATATACAAAACTCAAGAGGGTCACCAAATAGAACGTAAGGAACACGTAAAAGACCTAGGAATAATTATGTCAGCGGACCTTTACTTTAAAGACCATAACAAGACAAAGATCACGACAGCCAGGAAGATGACGGGGTAGGTATTGAGAACTTTCAAAACAAGGAAAATAATGCTGATGGTGACACTCTTCAAATCGCTAGTGCTGCCCCGTTCAAGGCAGGAGAAATATCGGAGCTGGAACAAATAGAGATCATTTCCGGCTCACATTGAGCCAGTAAAGCACCTAAACTACTGGGAACGCATGCAAGTCTTGAACATGTACTCATTGGAGTGGAGGAGAGAGAGGTACATGATAATATATACCTGGAAGGTACTCGAGGGCTTGGTCCCAAATCTGCACGCTGCCATAACAACATACTGGAGTGAGAGCTATGGGAGGAAGTGTAAAATAAACCCAGTGAGGAGCAGGGATGTGGTAGGGACAATAAGGGAACACTGTATCAACATCCAGGGTCCCAGACTTTTCAGCATCTTACCAGAGGATATCAGAAACACTGCTGGAACAAGTGTGGAAGCCTTCAAGAGGAAACTAGACAAGTATCTTCACCAGGTGCCAGATCAACCAGGCTGTATTGGATATGTGGGGCAGCAGACCTCCAGCAGCAACAGCCTGGTTGACCAGGCAAGCACCAGACGAGCCTGGCCCATGGCCGGGCTCAGAGAGTAGATAAACTCTCGAAACTCTTCAAAGGTATATCAAAGGTAAGGTATAACATAAGGAACATGTGAAAGACTTGGGAATAATTATGTCAGCTGACCCTTCTTTCAAAGAACACAGTAAGACAAAGGTCTTGACAGCCTGGAGGAAGACTGGGTGGGTAATGAGAACCTTCTAAACAAGGAAAATAATGCCAGTGCTGACACTTTTAAATCACTCTCGCTCCCTCATTTGCTATATTGCTCAGTGTTGATGGCCCTGTTCAGGCAGGAGAAATATCAGAGCTGGAACAAATACAGAAATTGTTTAAAGCCTGCATAAAACCAATAAAGCATGTAAATTGCTGGGAATACCTCAATCTTAAATATGTACTCAGTGGAATGGAGGAGAGACTTGATAATACAGCCTCTCCTTACTTAGTGACATACTCGTTTACTGATGACTCAGACTTACGACAAGCTCTCATGACCAGTATGCATGCCTATATAATGTATATTAGAGCTGATTTCCTCTATTCTATTTATTACAATATACAGTACAGTAGGGCCTCAATTATACGGCAGGTTAGGTTCCTTAAAACGGTATTGAAAGTGAAAAAAAGTGGAACACTTTTTTTTTCACTTATGAATGCCAGACAACAAGTTTACACTAACTTATATTAAATTAACATTAAACACGGCATTAAAAAAAAGTAAAATACACGTACACTTATTACTTACCTTAAAATATTAATATGAACGTGTGAAGCTAAATTGTCGGCGCTTGCAGCTTCACCCTGCACTCCGATGTTGTGAAGTTATCTCTGAATTTGTCCTCAGCAGCTTCCTCACCTCTCTCATAGAATTGAAGGGACTTAGGGCCTTGAACTAGATAATGGCTCGGCTGAAAGGCACATTGTGACTAGTCTGATCATCACTCCACACCATTGAAAGTTTTTGTGCGTGTGTGTGGCATGCAAAGAGTACCTAACCTTTATTCGACGCATGTACACACCCTCATTGAAAGGCTCTCCCCCCCATCCAGCGAACCAGTACTAGGGTCGGACGATGGGGACCCGTCGTTCGATCAGTACCCAGGTTCAGGCAATGAGAAGATGGTTCTGGCAATCACCGAGGTGTTGTGGGCACCACCCGCCTGTCTGCCCTTGTCATTTCCATTCTAGAGCTGGTTGAAGCACAGTCTGCTCTCTAGTGGCATCTATTCTGCCTTGCTTGCCGTGGCGTGCACTAATACCTATTGTTGTACATAGTGTATATAGTGTACATACATCTGTTCTTACTTGGTGAAAAGAAAATATACATGTATTTCAAAGTCATTCAGCTGTGTTCTGCTCCTTGCTCCCCTTTACACCCAGGATAACAGGCCTTATTGTCCCTGGGTTGTAATAGTGTGTCAGCAATAAGGTTAACACGTTTTCTTATAACTACGTATAGTGGTCACTGGTGTAGCACTTTTAATTTTCTGCAACACTTTCTCTGTAGTGTTCCCAATTGTACTAACTGTTTGACAATCCAAACCAAGCTTACATGCTATCTCAGCCATAGACATACCTTGTTCACTAAGTTGAGTCATTTCTAACTTGGCACTTAAGTAAGAGGTTTAAGACTTTTTATCACAACTAAGCTTTGACACCACTCTCAACGAGAGCCAACAAGTTAACGAAAGAGTAAACGAGCGAGAGAACGAGATACATTGAGTTCAGACAATATAAAGACGAACTGAAAGGGTAGTGGACAGTCACTCAGATAAAATACACACATTAATATGTATCCAATATTAGTTCATTCACGTATAGTTGTAAGAGTTTGTGAAACTTTTTTTTTTATTATTATTATTATCACACTGGCCGATTCCCACCAAGGCAGGGTGGCCCGAAAAAGAAAAACTTTCACCATCATTCACTCCATCACTGTCTTGCCAGAAGGGTGCTTTACACTACAGTTTTTAAACTGCAACATTAACACCTCACAATATTCTTTTTGGATTATAATTACCTTGCAATATAAATACTTTTACATAAACAGCAACATTCCCATTTTTGTGCAACACACCATTTTTAGAGTGAATGACGATATTATTTTCATAATAAAAAAGAAGTGCTAAACCCATAAGGGTCATGAATGACTATAGAGTGAAGGCATATAAAAGGAATATTTTTCTACAGTTACCGCCCCAGGAATTGGTGTTGGACTAGAGAAAACGTAATTCTTCCGACTCCTACAAGCTGTACTTGGTAAACACATCTCGTATTTGTCAATTTTTATACTGGTCGGCCATCACTAATCCAGCATCATTGGGACCTGTAGTGTGCTGGATTAGTGAGCTTGCTGGATTAGAGTGGTTAGGTTAGAATACACTTAATTAACTTATCAATAGACTTTCTGCTACATCTTCCTCATTTTCATCACTACTTATTCCTCCACTGGCTTACTGCTATGGATTTACAACCATCTACACAATTTTTGAGCCAGTATAATGATGAAATTTGAAATTATGCTAGCCGAAATTAGTGCTGGATTACTGATGGAACTGGATAACTGATTGCCGGATTAGTGATGGCCCACCTGTACTGTGGGTGTATGTATCGTGTGTGTGTGTGTGTGTTATGTAATGTGTTTCTTATATAATTTTGAAAAAAAAAATTATTATTATTATTATCAAAAAGAAGCACTAAGCCACAAGGGCTATACAGCAGAAAAAAATAAATTATAGATGGATTAATGGAAATGTCTATACAGTATTAACATCACATGCAACATTGCATGTGCCCCAGAGATTATTATTATTAATATGGCATCTTCAAGAGTAGAGAGAGACTTAGCAATTTTAATGTGTACTTGCATCCCAGCACAATGTCTTACACATAAGTATAATTGTCAGAGTACATATAAAATATGCAATAACGTTAAAACGCTTGAAATTTTGGAAAGTTTCCAGCCATAATGGAGAGATGTGCTCATGGAGAATGTAAACAAACCAGGTGGCATGCAATGACTACTAGAAAGACAGGTGGGGGTGGGGGGAGCCATATAGTGAGTGTTAGTCATAATTTGAAATGTCTTTATTAGCGGAATGCCACAAAGTGAAACGCTGTAAAGCGGGGCCCTACTGTACACTGTTGTATAAACATTTGAAAGTATACTAAAAATGGTGCAAAGATGACATTAAACAATATTAAAGATAGTTGACACAAACCCACTACCATTAATAGTGTGCTCCTTTCTTAGTGATGAATTCATTTACCCATGTGGTCTTAGGAACGGAACTCAAGTCATTAAGTGAGGAGAGGCTGTTCATATACTTACCTGGAAAGTACTTGAGTGCCTGGTCCCAAATCTGTGCACTGCCATAACATACTGGAGCAAGAGATGTGGGAGGAAGTGCAAAATATACCTAGTGAAAAGCAGGGGTGCAGTGGGCACAATAAGGGAACACTGTATCAGTGTCTGTTGCCACAGACTATTCAACATCTAACCAGCAGATGTTGGAAACATTGCTGGGACAAGTGTAGAAATCTTTCAGAGGAAACTGGACAAGTAGCTTCATCAGGTTAGCCCTTGTGGCTTAGCGCTTCTTTTTGATTATAATAATAATTCATCAGGTTCCAAATCAACCAGGCTATGATGTATATGTGGGGCAGCAAACTGCCAGCAGCCTGGTTGACTAGGCAAACACCAGACGAGCTTGACCCATGGTCGGGCTCCGGGAGTAGAAAAACTTGGACTCATCAAAGGCAGAGGCAAAGGTAAAAAAAAAAAATCATGCAATCTGATTTACGAGACCTGTATTTAGGCAGTAAAAGGATTGCTGATATGTGACTCACAGTAACTTTTACCACTAAACACAAATTTGAAACTGAGTATCAAGGAAGGCACATATAAAAGAAATTTCTAGGAAGGTGAAATGTCAAATATAAAAAGTTAGTTAAAACAGCTTTTGTGGTCTAGGAGGAAATTTGTACCCACAGTACAATAACAATTTAATAATGTTTTAAGAATTGCAAAATAGTGCTCTACTTAATAAATTGGTCAAAATTATTTACTTTTATTTACACCTTAACATACAATATTCTATCCAAGCATTGCACCCCAACCTCATAATTTTTGTCAGAAGATTCTAGAGGTCTCTACACATTTTCACTTTTCCAGTGTCCAACTGATTTTTCTAACTTGAAAGAACCATGTTTCAAGATTCCAGAAATCAGTAGTTTCTTGTCTATATGAAGAATATATTGCCTGTGTTATTGTAATGAATGAAGTCCATGTCATTTTTCTGTTGCACTCTTGTGTAATAGGTACCTTTTAGCCATATATTCCATGTTAAGCATGAGCCATTTACAGAGGCCACTAGAGTTCTGTAGTAGTGTAGAGGAGTGAAGTGATCCAGTAATAGGTATGGTGAATAGGAAAGACAACAAGAGTAGTTGAACTGTTGGGTATGTAGTGTGAAGCCACTGAATTCTGCATACAGCTGTGTCCCATGGCTTGGTTGGCAAGCCATGGGATTGAACCATGGACATTGTGTCCATGGTTCAATCCCTAGAATGGGTAAAAATGTTGAGCTTGTTTCCTTACACCAGTCACTGTTCACCTAGCAGTAAGTAGGTATCTGGGTGTTAGTCGGCTGATGTGGATCACATCCTTGGGGCCAAGATTAAAGGACCCCAGTGAAAATAAGTCGGTCCTCAATGACACACTGACTTTCTCGGGTTATTCTAGATGGCTAACCTTTCCCCAGGTTAAAAATCAGAATAAATCTTTTTTCTCTGGGTTGACTCTACACCAACACCTACTACCACTTCTGTTTGTTGTCCCTCTAGAAAAGTCGTGACGAACAACTATGAAAGAGACATTGTCAGGATTAATTATGTACAATATATACAGTGCTGTCACTTCAATGTCAAGTAATAAGAAAAACGTGGTCCTGTTAAAATTTACATTAAAAAGATTTTACACAAATGCAAGCAATATGGACACTTCACCAGCAATAATAAGGCAGAGACAAAGCATCCCATTGCTAAACAAAATGAAGGAACATTTCTAGGTCTTGACTGTAACTTTAAATTCACAACAAAAAAAAAGTATCCAAATAAGTTGGCTTCCTCCAAGAATTATACGAGGTGTGCTGGCTACATATGTAACCACAGTTGATGTGCTGGCCATATATATGACCACAGATCCATCACCTCTTTTTCACGCCCTGGATGTTATTGCATTACACCCTGAATGTGGGGTTTGTAAGGTGCTCACAGAGGTGCAGGCCACACAGTTGTAATGTGTAATGTAATGTGCATGAAAATCCCAGATCAGCAGTGAGATACTTAAACCACCCCGTCGGGCACCAACAATCATTCCATGGTCAATCACTTAGATCACGTCTCTTCCACATTCTGATGTTTAGTCTAGACAACAACGGAACCTCTTGACAATACCTGAATGCATTTAAGGTGTTGAGGTTGCTATGTGATTGGCAGCACATAAATGCCTAAGCAAGCAGGTGTACCTAATACAGTGACCACTGAATGTATATTGTAAAGC